CCTGTTTATCAGAAAAGGAAGTCGGATGTTGAGTTTTTTTACTTTTTTTATCTAGAGATTGGACGAGAAGAAAATAAATTAACCTAATCGAATTTATCACAGTTTGATTACAAGAAAACCAGTCATATTAAGAAAGAGCTTTTGTCTTTCATATCAATGTGTCATAATGCTGAGAATAGTCGTTCAATACCATTGTGGTGGACTCAAAGACTTGATAATTGCGCGCATCTACATATACAAAGGGGCCGGGTATTTGTTTGATGTACTTTCCTATCAACAGGGGTGGCGGATAATTGTAGAATGAGTAACACTACTCTAAAAACAAATTGGTGGAGTTACGTCAATTTTTTTAATTATAATTTACAAGAGGTACCAAAGGCGTGATAAATTTTGTAAATGGTACTCATACATGTGCTACCACTTAAATTGTATATATATTTGTAATTGAATCAGCGAAAATATATTGGTTTTACAAGCTCAAATACTAATTAAAATCAACGACATCTCAAGACTGAAGCTAGACAATATTAATCAAGTCAATCGTCACAGCAGGCTGCCATAATTATGTTAAGTCATAATTGAAAACTGGCTCGATCAATTGAAACTTTCAATTACTTTGTTTCAATTAAAGTCAGGCTACAGTTTGTATTGTTAGACAATAAGTTTGTCCTTTAAACATTTTGACAGCTTTAACTAAGACAAAGGCGATTGTTCAAGGTCAAGATATACCTAGAACAGAAACAAGAAATTCATGAATTATTTGTCCATATTTTAAGTTTTCATTTTACCTGTTTTATGTACGCAGTATCTATAACAACTGGTAATGATAATGTTAGTATATTGTATAATATATGGTATATATATTACTTCAATGACAATCAGTTTTTGGTAATACCTCATTAACTAACATAACAATCAAAGACATAGTAGGTATATCCAATTGGACTTACTGAGTTGTTATGTGGTGCTGACTTTCATTCGAATCTGAAAAAGTCTTTAGACTAAAATTCAATACAACAAATAGGACTTCTATCGTACAGCTAAGCTTCCGCGCGCGCCTCAAAGAGCCATAAGACCACCACGGATGGGGCCCAATAGGGCTTTAAGCAACTTAACGGGTTGCCGGGGCTCTGGCTCAAATTGCAGGAGTAAGAACGGGGTGGTTTACCTCAAAGAGCCATCAGACCACCACGGATGGGGACACATTACCTAAAAGAGCCATCAAACCACCACGGATGGGGCCCAATAGGGCTGATACCGATACGGAGCCGCGGAGAACTTAACGGGTTGCCGGGACTCCGGCTCGAATTGCAGGAGTAGGAACGGGGAGCAATTCGATGATTTTCGCCCCTTAAAAAAATCATACAACTACGCATAAATCTCAACTATATACCTTACCTACTACTACTACTACTACTAACTTTTTACTAAAGAACTTTGCAAATAGCCAGCCCTACACTAGAAGTGTGGCACAAAAGAGAAGATGCCTTTGACAGTAGTAAACGATCTATTCGACACAACGCTACGGCCGTCTCATTTGATTGTGATCGTGAATAATTCTCCGTACGATATGTTTTATTGATGTTCCACTTACAACTGCAGTACGATGTGTATTTGCATTTCTTTTCTTTGTCTGGAAATCAAAGATGGCTGTGTCTGTGCCGAACTGCATTATACACAAAACTCCTTTGTAAGGAGTTCGTGTTTTTGTTTCCTGTAAAGTGTTTTAGGCGAACGTAAATGTGAAATTTCATCTACGAGTACCTACTATGTAAAAACCATAGCGTGATCTTTGTGGCCATTTTTGTTAGGAAAAATTCCACCAGCTTGTATAATTGTCATACATTTGCTCAAGTTGTGTTTTTTTAATTGTAGAGGTAATTTACGGGCAGTAGACCAAAAAATAATACACATAGAACATACAATATCCTTAATATTTAATACTTAGGTCTACATATAACTGTTCTTAAAGAACATGCAAAAATTCTCTTTTTCTGAGCACTATAACGACAACTGCTTCATTTTCACTTCTTTCCATTAAAGATAAGACAAAATGTAAGTATATACCGTCGTCATCTTTTCAATATTGATTGTGTCAAAGAATTGAAGGAATATTTAATAAAGTTGTTGGCGGGAATTTGTAACTTTTGTTCGAAGTACTTTCGAGTTGTGTTCCGATTTCCCGATACACCTTTAAGAACAAAAAAATGTCGAACTAGTTTTAAAGAACAATTGTTTTTTTTAATGGGTATTTAATGGGAATGTATAATCTTGGCACATAATATTATACCCTACTACTATAGCAACACTAAACCCAATAAGAATAAGAAAGAAACAAAAAAAACATAAACAATTCGTGTGTATTTTCGCAAAATTAACCTTCAATAAACATAGTTAGAGTTTGTTTTTAATTACAGGCACGTTTGTGCGAATAAGGCACGCGTGTCGCTGGTATGTGGCTGTGGTTTGTGAGGAAGCAAACTGTTTCCCTCTAACTTTCCACTAACATGCTTAGACAAGTTTGATGCTTGATTGAGTCGAGTTCGTGGGTAAAGGGAGTTCATCCGTTCGGAATATCTGCGTCGTAATATTAAGTGGCTCTCTCATAGTTTTGTTTTATGGTGCATTGCGTCATATTTTTCTACCACGATTTCGTTTTAGTGTAAATTTTGGAAAACTATGCTATGAGAAGATTTCTTTTTTTAATCAAACTTTTTTTTTGGTGTGGCCGTGGTTTACCAGTGCATTCTCTGTTTATAAAGAAATCGTAGCCGTAGGCTGATCGACTGTATACGTGACCTGGCTGGCTATTTCTTCGGATAGAAAATAAGTATTGCCAATTAACGTGGTAATGCTGCCAGTCTTCTGGGAACGTTACCCGGTGACAGTGATGCGGATGAGTACTTTGACGCCTAATTAAGGGTATTTTTTTAATTTTTATTTAATCATAGGTTTAGTTGTAAGTAAGTAAGTATAATCTATGTTTGTGTTTTAGTTAACATCTGGAATTTCAGTTTGTATGATTGAGTAACACATATTCATCCATTTAATCTTTCATTGATAAATTAAATCACCGAGAGACACATATCGACGGCCTCTTCCATTGAGTTACGTCAATGGCCTCTTCCAACACTAAATTGGATGACTGAGAAATAGAAGAAAAAGTTGAATAATAAAAGAGTTAATGTACGAAACGGGTTCAGACCCTATGCATTCGATAAGAACCTCTTGACTTTAGTATAATCCTTTCATGTTCAGTGCTAACCCTCATTAGTTGGATGTGTAGGCACAATAATCATTCGTGATTGAGTGAACGCACCGCGGAAGTTGTTTCGCGGTTTTACACATATTCCCGCTCCGCAATTAACTGGCAACCACACGATTTAAACTTAGAATAGGAACGTTCTGGAATTTATTTTGTTTTTAATGGCCAGTGTTGAATATTTTAGCGGTTGGAATGTTGAATTTTTGTATGTTTCTTTTTTATTTATTTTATTTTATAACTAGCATACCCAGCAAACTTCGTTCCGCATAAAATTTCTTTTCTTAATTTTTATCCCTTCTCTGGACTACCATAACTTTTACCAAAATTTGTCAAATCGTTTCAGCCGTCCTTAAATTACAGCTAGACTAACGAACGGAAATCCCTTTTTATTTATAAAGATTATTTTCTATCTGTTTTATTTTAGAAAAATAAGACATACATTTTGTGTGCACTCTTGAATAGATTGCACCGTTCTCTGGAGATTATAGTTAGTCTTCCCCTAGTAAGAGATGGCCCATGGTCGGTTAGCATTGATAGTGATATTAGAATCGGTTCTAAATATCTAAATATCCAACAGAATGGCAATTGTAACCCTTCAATATTAACTGAAATAATAACACTGATATCTACAGTGAAAATTATTACATAGTAAACAGAATTGCACGTAGTTTTAATCGCAATTAACACCCAAACTTACTTCGCAATAAACATAGCTAATTGCTTTATGGATGACAAACTCTAACAGTCGTATATTAAAGTGGTTTATGACATTTGAATGAATTTTCTATATTCAACTAAAAAACTTTACGGGGCTTATAGAATTCACACGTGAGTTTTATACAAATCCGTTAAGCCTTTAAAACGTTTCAAACAACAGACTCCCACTTTTGATATTTACTGGACGCTTTGCTATAACAACACTCGTAGGTAAGTTGTAGCTACTATTCTACTAGCTACCCGCCCCGGCTTCGCACGGGTGCAATATGTATGAAATAAATATATAAACCTTCAAAACCTCCAAAATGCGTTGCGTAGTTTTAAAGATCTAAGCATACATAGGGAGAGACAGATGGCGGATAGCGACTTTGTTTTATAATATGTAGTGATGATGTAGGTACTTACATACCTATACGTATCACTCATATTATTATGCATGTTTGAAACGAGAAATTGTTTATAATTAGTCAGAGTCAAAGCATTTATTTCAATTATTAGTAAATTAAGCACATTTGAAACGTCAAAAATTTTATTGTCCGTCCATCTCTATGTCAGTGAAGCTAGGCGGTCGTTCCAAAGTGTAGTTTCGAATGGAGAAGAACGAGTAAGAAACTCCTTCGTTACTTTTTTTAAATGTTCTTACAATTTGCTGGTTTTTTTGTGTAGTGTTAATCTATTAAAGTTATCAAGTGCTTAATCTACATTATTATTTAGTGACGATAATTAAGGTCTCTCATAAAATCTATGAAACATTAAAAGATTTTATGAAGTTTAGTAGGCACTTATATTTAGTAAGCTGTTGCTAATACCTAATGCTGATATCTTAGGTGGACTCCCACATTAAACGGATTACTGGTCCATCAATGTTAAAGTTATTTATGTATGTGTTTTAATCCCACAATTCCCATTTACTGTTTCAAAACTCATTTTTCAAATGAAAACTCATTTATATTACCAAGAAAACACGTAATATTTTATGCAAAGTGAGTAAATTATTTATGAATTCATTTTGTTGCAGATAAACCACACGGACACGCTGAATAAGAGGTCAGTTCACTACTCACTAAGTCAGGTAACAAAGAAGTTTTTAATGCGCCCCGCTTTTTTAATCTGTGCCAACATTTTTAGCGCGAAAAATGAAGAAAATATTACGATTGTCTTTTGTTTTGTGGACCTTTGTCTATTGTTATTTATTAGCTTTGCTGAATCATGGTAGGATTCTAAAGAAAATTTAATTAAGTTTATTTATTACAGTTACTTGTAATAAAATATTTGCGAAGCGAATGCCCGCCCTACGAAAGATATTATTTTAAGTTTTGCAATGGAATAGTTTAATATTGGATAATGTGACCAAAATGGACAAAGGCCTCATTCACACAGGTATACATACATATTACACAAATTCCAATCAATTTGTCACCGGTAAATTACTCTCCATCATTACAAAATACGTAAGCTATAAACTCACAAATACAGATATAATAATTATTTAGAATATTTAGCTTTCTAATTATTCGGGTTTGCGTTCCAAAATCAGTAGGAATTTATTCTAATGAAGCTGTATTTTGTTTTAGTTTATTTTCATGCAGCATAATAATAATTGTGTAATCGGTATTATATGGAGATTGTAGATATTTGTTCTATCCCACAAATCTGAATTCGAGATTTTGTTTATTATATTTAGCAATTATGAATTAAATTAATGTTTTTAGATTTTGCCGATAGTCATTGTTTATTATTGAGATAGCGTTACATGTTTAATTGAAATTAATGTTCGGATAGGTATAATAAATAAATTGATTGCCTTGTTGGCCGAGTGGTCACAAGTGTGACTGCCGGGCAAGGGTCTCGGGTTCTATATACTGGGTTTTTAAAAAATTACTTTGGCCTTAGGCTCACCTCTATTACATGACACTCATAACATAAATAGTAAAAAGTGGGTGTTACATTGTACCTTAAAGTGGCATTAAGTATCGTTATATGCCCTCTGTCTACCCCTTCGGGGATAAAAGACGTGTTGTTATGTTATATGTGCGAAAGGCTTTTCTGCCATCAAATGTAAACTATAGATCATTCTTATATCAGCCATAAGAAGTCTTCTGCAGAACATAGGCCTGGCCTGCTCCAATGACTTTCCGATCAGTCGGATGTAATTTGGAAGCGACCGCGAAGTGGTACCGTACAAAACTACACCTAATCACAGTTTCGGAAAGACAGTTTTGTAATGACAAAATATTACAATGGGAGCATGTAATTGTTTCAGTCGACAGTGCGTTATGCTGGGAATAAGCATTTTCCCACACGTATGGAGAAGTAATGAGCTTATATATTATAATACTTTCTTAGTAATATTATGTAATAAAACGAAATTGCGTTTGTTTGTTAACCTTTACGTCGCAACGAGCATATTTAACTCGTCGAGTACCGTCATTATAGACACAATTATAGAACAATAGGTTGCGGTCACCGGTGACCGCTTGGTGTTTGACAGTTTAAGGCATGATTTTTGTGTCTGGTGTTAGGAGAATGGTGACTACAAACTTTGGTGGCTACAAAATTTTCTTTGACTGGTAAAACCACGAGCCGTAAGCTAGTTTAACCATCGCGCGCGCCTCAAAGAGCCATCAGACCACCACGGATGGGGCTAATGCCAATACGGAGCCGCGGAGAACTTAACGGGTTACCGGGGCTCCGGCTCGAAGCGCAGGAGTAGGAACGCGATGGTGGAACCTCACCTAGCCGGGACAAGTCATTCGATGATTTTCCCCCCTTAAAAAAAGGGAGTTTAACCATAACTTACAAATACCGTTACTTAAACATGTGAAATATCAGCATTTTAAAATGGTAATTCCTCAGTGTTGTAAAGTTATCCACATAACTGTTAATGACATCCGCTAATAAAGGAGAAAGTGCGTTGTTGACATACGGAGCGTTGCGTCGCGTCGCGTCGCACTATGCTCGTATGAAGTCGTATGCTTTCACGCATTGGTCGGAAATGTGATTGTCGCTTCGGTGTCTATTAGTCGGAAGTGTGGCCTATAATAGCCGGTAAAGACGGATGATATACCTATATGGTACTTGCTAGTTAGTTTTATGTGAAATGGTGTGTAGGATTGTAGTTCTGCTAGCTATACGCAGGGTATGTGCAAAATCGTTATCAAGTAAGTGTCGGAATCAATCTATCTACTACAACCTTTTTTTAATTATTGTTGTCAGCAAAAGCCCTTGACTTCTGCGTAAGAGGGGTTCATACTGTAATGTAACTTTTGTGTTCTTCTCCATTCGAATCTACGTTTTGGAATAAGCACCTCACTTTACTGACGGACTGACTGACAGAATATTATTTATTTTGTATTTGTTGACGTTTCAAAAGTACCAAATTATGGTTTAATTGAAATAAATACTTTGACTTTGATTTTGATCATTTTTAGTTTTCTTTTGTTTTATATTCTCCATTAGTTTTATTTTATTTTCGTTTGTACATATTTATTTATATCTATAAGTATCTACTTTATTGTGCTGTTGTGTCATTGTCAATTTTATGTTTATTTTGTGCTCTCATCAATTGCTTAATCTCTATGCTTTAATGATGTGAAGCTAAGTACTTCATTCGCAAAAAATACATCAATGTTTTACCTCATTTTGGAAAATTAGCTGTAAATCAGTAATTAATTATAGTGAAATCATGTTTGCTTACAACAATGCGGGTACAGTGAAAGGCGATATCAGTTTCAATTATGTAGGTACCTTATTATTTTACTTTCGCTTATTTTACAGTAGAAACCAATACCCCTTTGTTACATTTCACACGATAAAATTATATGATCACAAAGGAAACACTATATTTAAGTAATGTACAGCCACACAAGTTATTAGGTAAATCTAAAATCTGATTCAGTACGACGAACAGTAGCTATTCAGCTATTGTAATACGAAATTGTAAGCTTTTTAGGAAAGCCATATCTCTTGTAACCGTTGGTCAGTTTGATAGCCAACTAATTCACTGTATTTATACTGCCGGCCATATGCATGCAATTTACTTGCCTGTCGGTACTATGGAATATCTTATTAATCTTATCTTACTTCTTAGTACTATTATAATTGCGAAAGCTTGCGAGTTCGTTTGTATCAGGAGGTAGACTAAGATCTGGAATAACGCATAGGCTACTGTTTATTCCGTTAATTCCATGGGTACGCCAGTGAAGCCGCTAGCAGAAGATAGAAAAAAAAAGAATAGCGTTTAACAAACAAACAAGCAAACAAATTTCAGCCAATTCCAAAGGGAAAAGCCAGCAATCTCATATTACATTCTATGACAGACTAATTAAAAGTATTTCAAAAAAGTTTTTCTAAAACATATAATTTGAAACAAATGTTTTCGACCTTTGTCTTTTATATATCTTTGTCTCATCAGGTACAGGTGACGCAGTAAAGCGTTACGTTGACATCGTTGAATATTTATTACTTTCATCAAAGTGTTAAATAAATAACAAGTTTTAATGAATTTATGATTGATTATGTTTCGTGGAAACTTGTGACTGTTCTGTTTATATTATAATTAGCTTTTGTTGTGTAAGGAGGTGGTTGAATTTGGAGTTTTGTAACTGTAGTTTAGTGATGGTAGAATACATTTGTCACCAGTGATTCTTCATCAAAAGCTGGTTACAAAATGGCGTTCTCAGATGAACCTTCTTTTTAAGGGGGGATTCATCATTCATTCAATGACTTCTCCCGCCTTGTCCTTGCCCTAAAAATCACCCCGTTCCTACTACTGGTCTTCGAGCGGTAGCTCCGGCAACCCTTACGCAGCTACTCTCAGATGACAGGTTCATCCTTATAAACAGTGATCAAAAACCAGGCAACCAGATTACGGCTGACCCTTTTATGTAGGTAGAGAATGCCGTGGATGATTATAGCTTGTTGCTAGTGTGATTCAAGATCCTCAGGTTAAGGTAGCCAATAAACCAAATATTTTAATTAAAAAACAATAAATTCCACATTCGAAACAAGTTCATTGAACTCAAATCTGTAACCAATCAACAAAGACACAACAAGCCAACTAGAAAACTAACAAATAATAAAATTTTTACAAAAACTAAATCTTCGAATACATTTTCCGAGGATTTTCATACTGCGTTGACTCTATTAGCATTTTATTATTAGAAATTGCATTGAACGGGATCGCATTTTGCTATTTTATTAATACTTCATTCAAATTCTTTAATATCCAAGTAAAAGCTGCATAAAATGCCAGTAATAACTGTCGCTGATTGGACAGATTGAGTGAATTATTGCTTTAATAATAAATTTAATGAAAACCAATACAATTATGTGGTGGTATGACATTTACCTAGTGTTTTATAATCTCATTCGGTTTGCGTTTGTAAATTCAATATAGGCGTGATTAAATTTTCGTTGTTCCAAAAGTCCATAAATTAAACGTTATTTACAAAAAGTGCGACTTCTGCATTAAATTAAGATTTTGAATAATTAAAATTTTCACGGGCTGGAGTGAAATAGAGAATTGTAGTAAATGGGGATAATGACAGGGTATGAAAATTAAAAATATAATTATTCCGTAAGTTAGGTAATTTAAAAATATAAGACACGTATTTTTTTATTTTGTCGTATAATAAAACAATACTTAGATAAAACGAATCAAAGTTTAGGAGTAGGGGCTAAAACGTCATTTCTTAGAATAAAATGACATCCCGCGACATTTCAAATTAATATATCTTCAAAACTATTCGTTTACGTAAGAAAATAAAAAATACGTGTCTAAGGTTTTAAAATAATCTACCAGACGGACATTAAAATAAAAATTAGTCGTCTACCCTATTGTGTTCTACTTTCAATATGTTACAATATTATTAAGCTCGGCCGTGGAATTATACTAATTATTTTAATCAAGATGAAGAATAATAGCTGATTAGAAAAAAAATACTCGTAGTTGGACAAGAAAAAAGAACACCGTTTAGGTAGAAATACGGGATCTATTGAGGGTAACAGTAACAATTTCGACATATTACAATTACTCACATCGAGTA